AACACGCCGTAGCATGAGCCTTAAAACGTCCAACGCGTCGAACTGGTGCTTGATCGCCATCGCACGCCTGACACCCCTCGGTAGGTGCCCAGCCGGCTGCGTCGCGAACATCCTTCAAGTCCGTCTGTGACCACATTGGAAACACCATCTTGTCGAACGCCCCCTTGTCCCACTGCAACTCCTCTGGCCTCTTTTTCACCGCCCTCGCCATCACGATGCCCAGCGCCGCACCCACGATGCGCTCGTCGGCATCCGTAGACCTCCCAAGCCACACTCCAGCAAGCCATGCTGAAGTAAGCCGATCGCGTGGAACTCCAGACTTCTTCGCCAGGACATCCTCGGCAAAGTTCAGAAGAGGGGACCTGTACTTCACCATCTTCAGATCCTCGTAGGCCGCCCTGCCGTTACGCTTGTACTGGAAACTGTTCTGGGCGAAAGTGACCTGCTTAACGATCCAGCTCAAGATTGCGGAGTCGCCCTTGGCCACTACGTATACTTCTTTTGAACTGCACGTGCTTGCGCCCTCGCCAGGCCCTCGATGACCTTCACCGATGCCTCCGCCAAGCCGTTGCTCGCGCGTGACCCTGGCGATGATTTCCGCAATGAAATCTGCGTGAGAATATCCTCGGACTGCGTGCTGCGCCCCTGGACTAACGCCGCCCCAAGAGCAATGATGGACGGCTCGCCGTCGCTTTGAATAGTGACCCTTGGGTGACCCAACTCGCCCAGGTAGCTGCTGAGAAATGCCACCGCACATGGAGTCGGTCCCTTCGCTGGTACCTGAGCTGCTCCTGTGTAGGATGAGGGCTGTCCTGAATGACCAAGATCGCAGCCGTCTCTGCGTCGCCATCCTCCAAGGCCAAGAAGAAGTAGTCCATGCCAAGAACTGGATTGGGTGATGAAACTTCTCCTTGTCGCCGTCGATGTGCTTCCTCCGGCCCTCGTCCGATGACGCAGCTGCCGCACCACGGCGCGTAGGGACTATGGGCAAGGTAGTGCTTCCCCTGCTCCTCTTTACTTGGCAACCCTGGGGCTCGCATTGCAATTTCCTCCGCCGCTCCTACTGGAACTTGATTTTGTCCACTCTCCATGATACCTCCCGTAGGATGTCCCGACGGATTCGGGATCGTCGCCAGGTGGCTCTCGATGGTCTCGACCGACTTCAACAGCTTGGCCGAACCTGAACGATCTAGCCCTGCGAGGAAGTAGCCGCGTCCAACTCTCGGCAACCGAACTACCAAACCACCCTTGGACATGTAGCCCTGATCGCCAAACCGGAACATATAACCTCGGCCCGTAAGCTCGCCAACTGAAATTAGCGGCCTCCGAACACCTGCGACCACGAACGGCACCACCACTTTCAGCAGCCTCCCGCACACTGTCGTAACGCTGAACGGGACTAGCCGCTGCCCATAAGCTCTGATTCGCTTGCCAGTAGCTGAGAACAACTCTGGCTCCTTGAACATTCCGGTCCTCTCTATGTGCTTCGCATACTCCTTAGGCGCCACATGTGTACACGCTCCACTGTCGAACAATGGATCGTCTTCGAAACCACCGATTGATATGATCGCTGTCTGGCTGATCATATCCAATTTGAATCAGCTGTCCCAGAGACAACGCCAATCTCTCCCGACTGGCGCTGCGCTGGCGTCTCGGAACTGCTTGGAACTACCCCTTGCTGTCCACCTGCACTCGCGACTTCGTTACGAGTAGAACTCGGAGCCTGTCTGCAATTACGTGCGTAGTGACCTCGCTGGTCACAGCGGTGACACACAACATCTGCCTGTCCGTGTCCTCTGCCCGTCTGAGGCTTACCCTTGCCACTGTCCCTACGTTTGTTGTTCTTGCCCTCCGAGTCGTTATTACCTTTTACCCTTGTTGTCCTTACCGCTTCTCTTGTTATCCTTGCCCTTGCCCTTGTGAACGTTGCCTATGTCCATTGGTGCTGGTCCTGAGCCCGCTGCGGCCGAATTCATCTGCAATTGCATGTAGTTAGACATCGTCTCCTTGAGCGACTCGGCCGAAACGAAAGTATGTAGATAAACCTGGGCCTTGATGCTTGCTGGTGCATTATGCTTCAAGATTGCCTGCTTGAGCGTGTCCGAGAGCCTCTCGTTGTGCTGCTTCTCATACGTTTGAAACCTACTCTCCAAAATCTGAAGCTGCTCTGCAAACTTAGTCGGTCCGCCGTCGAACTTTGTGCTGAGAATACCCATCAACTGCGTGACCTGAGCTGCTCCCGTCGTAGGCTCCTCTAAACGAACCAGCTGTCGCCACGCTTCAGTTCAAGACCGTGATACCCAGGGACATGCATTACCAATTGAAGAGAACTACCCTGCAGCACATGGGATAAAATGAAAGCCAACGTCCTGCTATGTCCACGCCGAACCTCGTTTAGCTCGTTGACTGGGATCGGGTTGATCTGACGCTCGGCCTGCTCCAAACTCTCCGAAAGATCTCCATCCAAAGCGCCCACATACGCTTTGAAAAAGTACTTCCATTGAAGCCAATCTGTCCGATGTCCTGAATACGCCTTCGGCTTTCCCAGCAATTTGGTGTCCACAAGCGGCAAAGGACCTCCTTGATCACCAATAATTCCTTGAAGTTATACACAAATCTCGTACTCTAACTCTCCTTGAAATCGAACTTCGTCCAACTATTGCGGCTCGCCAAGAACCCGTGGATCACGCCACGGGCTCCGCTACCATGGGCGAATGAGGCCCCTGGGCCCCCGGTGAGGAATCCCCTTTTCCTCTCAACATAGCACTTGGGCCAAAATGGCCTGCAGCCACTTCAGCTCCATATCTCTGCTAACTCGCAAAGGGCTCCACTAGCCCCCCAAACGGGGGCCTTCTAGGCGGGCATCTTTCACACACCAAGTATCTCACCGCACCTTTAGCACGGCACACATTCATACCTCTCTGGAGCCTTGAGCGGGACCCCGAAAGACCTCATTAGGGCATACATACACGCATCCAAAAATATTCAACAAATACTCGCCCCCGGACGGAGGCCCGGCGGCCCGCCGAGGGGCACGCACGAGGGCGCGGGCATCCCCAGAGGCGGCGGTGCTCCTCGGAAGCCGAGGCCCTCCGGCCCTCTGAGGAGCCCTCTCTGGCTTCGGATTGGGTCGGGCCTATCACCCCACAGGGGGATTTTGGGCGAAAAAAAGCACCCAGAAGATGCTCAAGAATACTCAAAAAAGTAATCGAAAAATCGTCCCGGGCTATTGTTTTACGATTCTTGGATATTCCCAGGGGCAGGCCCGACGTAAGCTTCGGAGGAGGCTCAGAAAGCTTCCCAGAAGGCTCAGAAGGCCTTCTGAGGAAGCCCGATCCCTCTGGCTTGCCCCCCTGCGCGCGCCGCCAAGAGGCAGGAGGAGGAGCTGACCTGACCTTGAGACCTCCACCGACCTGAATTACCAGCTTGACACATATCCCTATGCTTGGCATCGCCCCATCACGATGCCAACCTCAGGGACTCCCTGAGGTTTTGTGGGCGCATCCCTGAGATTGTCATCGCCTCTTGGCGTGTCAATCTTACCGGGTGTTGCTAGAGGTGCCCCTGGCCCAACGTACCCCCAGGATTTTCAAGGAGGCCACCACGGCCTCCAGAGCAGCCCTCACGAGGTCCAGAGGGGCCCAGGCGCTCCAAAATTGAGCGAAAGGCTGGGGGCACCTTGGGCAACGTCCGATCTTAGGGATAGGGAAAAGTTCTTAGCAACCTCCGATCTTAGGGATAGGGATAACCTTGAAGGGGAACCTTTAGCAACCTCCGACCTTGAGGGGGAACCTTTAGCAACCTCCGATCTAAGGGATAGGGATAAGTTCGAGGCCGGTGACTGAGAAGAGCTCACGACGGGCGACCCGTTTCCAGGCCGTCGGCGCCCAGGGCCCGCCCTCGGGCTACATGGGGGGCCAGAGAGGGTCCTCCTCCTCCTCCTCCTCATCCTCCTCCTCCTCCTCCTCCTCCTCCTCCTCCTCCTCCTCCTCCTCCTCCTCCTCCTCCTCCTCCTCCTCCTCCTCCTCCTCCTCCTCCACCCTCCTCCACCCGCTGCAGCTGCATGAGCCGAAGGGGGCGGCCCTCTGGGCGGAGTGGGGCGGGGGGGGGACTGCGCCGAGGGCAGGGAGCATCGCTAGGGGAACGAAAAGTGGCATAAACATAAAAACTCGAAGGTCCGCGCGGATTTCTCGGATCGGCGCTGGGTGGTTTGGTGGGTGGTGAGCGCGTGCGCGCATCCTCACTGTAACCTGGCTGGGGCTCCCATAGGGCACGCATCGCGTTGGAGGGTCGCACCAGGCGCGCTGGGCGCGCGCGCCCCCAGAGGGGCCGTGGCTGGGTTCCCCTGCGGGCACGAAATTTACGATGGGCAGTCCAACATGGGCTCGGGAGAGCACGTGCAAGTGACAAGCCCGCCTCTGTGGGCCGCAGAGTACGTAGACTACCTGTGAAGCACGAAATGCGTGAGAGGCGCGCCGAAGCGGCCTCGGCTGAGCGCATGCGGCCCCCCATCCCCCAGCTGGTGCGGCCCCCATGCGAGGCAGGAAAAGCTTGAGCGGTGTGCCCACCCAGGAGCGCGTGAGCACGTGGGAGCCTCTGCCCTGCATTTGAGACGGTAGCTGAGCTGGGGCCCCCTGCGAGGCACGAAATTGCTATGAGGTGTGTGCCAAATCAGGTGCGGGTGAGCGCTTGCGAGGCCCCCGCCCTGGGGTGCCCCCTGCGAGGTGCGGCGGCCCCAGGGCCAGGCATGCTCGAGAGCTCAACGAAGGAAGGCGAAGGAGAGAATAGAGGAGCATTTTGACAGCACGAATGCCAGCCCGCCTCTTCCTCAGTTGTCCTGGCCCTCGCTCGAATCAGCAGCAAAAACGCTGAGAATACACCCTATTTGCTATTAGTAAGGCCGAGCGGGGCAGGGGGGAATAGCAGACCCTTGAAAAAAATTAGACCAGCCGTGCTGGAGGGTTTTGACGGTAACAGGCGGATCCACGACCGCTCACTCTTCATCGCAGCGGCGAGTCCGTGTACAACTCCCAGTCACCCCACGCAGACCCAGTCAGGCCATCCTGATAAAACATGCCGATGATTGCCATCATCGCCAGCCTTCCGTTCGCGATCTCGGCGTTCAGCTTGCGGGACTTGGCCTCGCCGGCCGGCAGTGTGCTGCCGTTGGGCACGCCCAGGACGCCGCCGTTCTCGTAGTCGCCAGGGGCCCTCGACGGGTCGTACACGAACACGCCCTTCTCGAGCAGGCCGCAGAACAGGAAGATCTGGCACCAGCCCGCTCCGGGGACCTTGGACAGCGCGGCAAGACCGTTGGGGATGTCCGCGAACTTGAGGCCCTTAGACGGCGAGCAGTAGCCAGGCCACTTGAAGTACTCAGGGGTGATGTAGCCCATGCACGCCCACATGGATACGCGCCCGTGCTTGATCTCGGTGACGCGGCGCCTCTTGAACGCCTCCGTGTCGCCGTCCTTAGTCAGCCCGGCCGGATCCCAGTACCCGAAAGGGGCCTGCACGCCCAGCTCGCTCTCAAAAGCGCGCAGTGGGGAGTCGGTGTACAGCGCCCAGTCGCCCCACGCACTTCCAGTGAGGCCGTCCTGAAAAAACATCCCGATGATCGCCATCATTGCCAGCCTGCCGTTGGCGATCTCGGCATTCAGTTTCTTCGTCTTCGCCTCGCCGTCGAAGCCGGAGAGCAGGGGCGGCTTCCAGCCCACGTCGCCGGGCGTCTGCTCAGTGCCGATGTAGTTGAAGCCGAGGCCAGATGCCTCGACGTAGAGGCAATAGATGACGATCTGAAGCCACCCGAGGAACGGCACCTTGGAGATGGCTGCCAGGCCATTCGGGATATCCTGGAAAGCGAGACCCTTGGACGGGCTGAGGTACCCTGGGAACTTGCCAGCGACCTCGGGCGTAATGTAGCCCATCGTAGCCAGCATCGACACGCGGCCATGCTTTATCTCCGTGGAGCGTCGGCGCTTGAAGGCCGCAGCATCACCGTCCTTCGAGAGACCAGCAGGGTCCCAGAAGCCCACGGGAGCTTGCACGCCCAACTCGCTCTCGAACGCGCGCAGCGGAGAGCCCGTGTAGAGCGCCCAGTCGCCCCACGCGGAGCCAGTCAAGCCGTCCTGGAAAAACATTCCGATGATCGCCATCATGGCCAGACGACCGTTGGCGATCTCAGCCGCCAACTTCTTCTGCTTCTCCCCAGCGTCGCTGGACGTCAGCACCTTGAAGCCGAAGTCACCCGCCGCGGCGGCGGTGCCAGCGGACTGGTCCTGGGACAGCTCGCAGAACGCGCCGTACGCCACGATCTGCGCCCAGCCCGCCCGGGAACCTTGGAGATCGCACCGAGGCCGTTCGGGATGTCCGCGAACTTCAGGCACATCGGAGGCAAGACAATGTTACCTGGCCAGCTTCGGTGATCTCTGGGGCCAGTAGCACCATCGTCGCCAGCATGCTCACGCGGCCGTGCTTGAGCTCTGTCTGGCGCCTCCTGGCGAAGTTCGCCGTGCTACCGTCCGCAGTGAACCCGGCAGGGTCCCAGAAGCCCACGGGGTCCTGCACGCCCAGCTCGCTCTCGAACGCGCGCAGCGGGGATCCGGTGTAGAGCGCCCAGTCGCCCCACGCGGACCCGGTCAAACCGTCCTGGAAAAACATTCCGATGCATCGCCATCATGGCCAGACGACGTTGGCGATCTCAGCGCCAACTTCTTTCTGCTTCTCCCGCGCGTCGCTGGAACGTCAGCACCTTGAAGCCGAAGTCACCCGCCGCGGCGGCGGTGCCAGCGGACTGGTCCTGGGACAGCTCGCAGAACGCGCCGTACGCCACGATCTGCGCCCAGCCCGCCGCGGGAACCTTGGAGATCGCACCGAGGCCGTTCGGGATGTCCGCGAACTTCAGGCCAGCGGACGGCGACAGGTACCCTGGCAGCTTGCCGGTGATCTCTGGGGTGATGTAGCCCATCGTCGCCAGCATAGACACGCGGCCGTGCTTGAGCTCAGTCTGGCGCCGGCGGGCAAAGTTCTCCGTGCTACCGTCCGCAGTGAAGCCAGCGGGATCCCAGAAGCCAACCGGGTCCTGCACGCCCAGCTCGCTCTCGAACGCACGCAGCGGAGAGCCCGTGTAGAGCGCCCAGTCGCCCCACGCGGAGCCAGTCAAGCCGTCCTGGAAGAACATTCCGATGATCGCCATCATGGCCAGACGACCGTTGGCGATCTCAGCCGCCAACTTCTTCTGCTTCTCCCCAGCGTCGCTGGACGTCAGCACCTTGAAGCCGAAGTCACCCGCCGCGGCAGCGGTGCCAGCGGACTGGTCCTGGGACAGCTCGCAGAACGCGCCGTACGCCACGATCTGCGCCCAGCCCGCCGCGGGAACCTTGGAGATCGCACCGAGCCCGTTCGGGATGTCCGCGAACTTCAGGCCCGCGGACGGCGACAAGTACCCTGGCAGCTTGCCGGTAATCTCTGGGGTGATGTAGCCCATCGTCGCCAGCATGCTCACGCGACCGTGCTTCAGCTCGGTCTGGCGCCGGCGGGCGAAGTTAGCCGTGCTACCATCTGCCGTGAACCCAGCAGGGTCCCAGAAGCCAACTGGGTCCTGCACGCCCAGCTCGCTCTCGAACGCGCGCAGCGGGGATCCAGTGTAGAGCGCCCAGTCGCCCCAGGCAGAGCCGGTCAGGCCGTCCTGGAAGAACATGCCGATGATTGCCATCATGGCCAGACGACCGTTGGCGATCTCAGCTGCCAATTTCTTCTGCTTCTCCCCCGCGTTGCTGGACGTCAGCACCTTGAACCCGAAGTCACCCGCCGCGGCAGCGGTGCCAGCGGACTGGTCCTGGGACAGCTCGCAGAACGCGCCGTACGCCACGATCTGCGCCCAGCCCGCCGCGGGAACCTTGGAGATCGCACCGAGCCCGTTCGGGATGTCCGCGAACTTCAGGCCCGCGGAAGGCGACAGGTATCCTGGCAGCTTGCCAGTAATCTCTGGGGTGATGTAGCCCATCGTCGCCAGCATACTCACGCGGCCGTGCTTCAGCTCGGTCTGGCGCCGGCGGGCGAAGTTGGCCGTGCTACCATCCGCCGTGAACCCAGCAGGGTCCCAGAAGCCGACCGGGTCCTGCACGCCCAGCTCGCTCTCGAACGCGCGCAGCGGGGATCCGGTGTAGAGCGCCCAGTCGCCCCAGGCAGAGCCGGTCAGGCCGTCCTGCAAGAACATGCCGATGATCGCCATCATGGCCAGACGACCGTTGGCGATCTCAGCTGCCAACTTCTTCTGCTTCTCCCCGGCGTCGCTGGACGTCAACACCTTGAACCCGAAGTCACCCGCCGCGGCAGCGGTGCCAGCGGACTGGTCCTGGGACAGCTCGCAGAACGCGCCGTACGCCACGATCTGCGCCCAGCCCGCCGCGGGAACCTTGGAGATCGCACCGAGGCCGTTCGGGATGTCCGCGAACTTCAGGCCAGCGGACGGCGACAGGTACCCTGGCAGCTTGCCGGTGATCTCTGGGGTGATGTAGCCCATCGTGGCCAGCATAGACACGCGGCCGTGCTTCAGCTCGGTCTGGCGCCGGCGGGCAAAGTTCTCCGTGCTACCGTCCGCAGTGAAGCCAGCGGGATCCCAGAAGCCAACCGGGTCCCTGCACGCCCATCTCGGCTCTCGACGCGCGGCATGCGGAGAGCCCGTGTAGAGCGCGCAGTCGCCCAGTCGACCCACGCGGAGCCGTCAAGAGCCGTCCTGGAAAACATTCCGATGATTCGGCCATCATGGCCATACGGACCATTGGGATCTCAGCTGCCAATTTCTTCTGCTTCTCCCCAGCATCGCTGGACGTCAGCACCTTGAACCCGAAGTCACCCGCCGCGGCAGCGGTGCCAGCGGACTGGTCCTGAGACAGCTCGCAAAACGCGCCGTACGCCACGATCTGCGCCCAGCCCGCCGCGGGAACCTTGGAGATCGCACCGAGCCCGTTCGGGATGTCCGCGAACTTCAGGCCCGCGGACGGCGACAAGTACCCTGGCAGCTTGCCGGTAATCTCTGGGGTTATTTAGCCCATCGTCGCCAGCATAGACACGCGGCCGTGCTTCAGCTCGGTCTGGCGCCGGCGGGCAAAGTTCTCCGTGCTACCGTCCGCAGTGAAGCCAGCGGGATCCCAGAAGCCAACCGGGTCCTGCACGCCCAGCTCGCTCTCGAACGCGCGCAGCGGAGAGCCTGTGTAGAGCGCCCAATCGCCCCACGCGGAGCCAGTCAAGCCGTCCTGGAAGAACATTCCGATGATCGCCATCATGGCCAGACGACCGTTGGCGATCTCAGCCGCCAACTTCTTCTGCTTCTCCCCAGCGTCGCTGGACGTCAGCACCTTGAAGCCGAAGTCACCCGCCGCGGCAGCGGTGCCAGCGGACTGGTCCTGGGACAACTCGCAGAACGCGCCGTACGCCACAATCTGCGCCCAGCCCGCCGCGGGAACCTTGGAGATCGCAACAAGGGGGGGGGGGGGGAAGGGGCCGTTCGGGATGTCCGCGAACTTCAGGCCAGCGGACGGCGACAGGTACCCTGGCAGCTTGCCGGTGATCTCTGGGGTGATGTAGCCCATCGTCGCCAGCATAGACACGCGGCCGTGTTTCAGCTCGGTCTGGCGCCGGCGGGCAAAGTTCTCCGTGCTACCGTCCGCAGTGAAGCCAGCGGGATCCCAGAAGCCAACCGGGTCCTGGTGGCGGCGCGCACAAGGGGGTAGGGGGAGCATCTCGTCTCTTTCCTGGCAGACTGGGTTCTTTCCGGGTAAACTGGGTTATTCCCCGGCACGGCGCCGGGAAAGAGTCCAGTTTGGTGTGGCTTTTGCGAAGAAATCTCGCGCGTCGATTTTCGAAGCTGCCGCTGGCACCTCAATGGTTGGCACCTTAGTTTCGCGGGGTACACGCGGGGAAAGAGTCCAGATGTGAACACTACTACTACTACTACTACTACTACTACTACTACTACTACTACTACTACTACTACTACTACTACTACTACTACTACTACTACTACTACGACTACTACGACTACTACGACTACTACTACTACTACTACTACTACTACTACTACTACTACTACTATGACGACGACGACTACTACTACTACTACTACTACTACTATTACTACTACCACCACCACCACTACTACTACTACTACTACTACTACTACTACTACTGCAACTACTACTACTACTACTACTACTACTACTACTACTACTACTACTACTACTACTACTAATACTACTACTACTACTACTACTACTACTACTAATACTACTTACTACTACTAAACTACTAGACTACTGCTACTACTACTTACTACGACTACCTACACTACTACTACTACTACTACTACTACTACTCTACTACGACTACTACTACTACTACTACTAATACTACGAGTACTACTACTACTACTACTACTACTACTACTACTAACTACTGCTGCTCTTAAAAATTTATAATAATAGTTAAAATTAAAGATTATTAAAAAATTTTTATAAATTATTAACTACTAACTACTACTACTCCTACTACTACTACTACTACTACTATTTACTACCACTACTACTACGACTACTACTACGCTACGACTACGACTACGACTACGACTCGAATACGACTACGACTACGACTACGACTACTAATACTACTCCTACTACTAACGACGACGCTACGACGACGACGACGACGACGACGACGACGACCGACGACGACGACGACGACGACGACGACTACTACTACTACTACTACTACTACTACCACACTACCACTACTACTACTTACTACTACTACTACTTAC